GCAGTTTTAGCTATTTTCTAGAAGGGCATTAAATCTAAAATATTAATCTATTCTTATTTGCTATGATAAAAAAGCATTAAATCTGGTAAGCTCAAACAGCGTGCAAAATCGCTGACGTTTTAATCATAGCAAAAGTCAGTACTAACAAAATTAGAGATGGCCTCTATTTGATTTTCAAGTATATTGGTGCGAGACAAAACCTGCGGTTTTTGCCAAAATGTAGCCAAACTGATAAGAAGAGGGAAATAATGCATAGACAGCTGCTATTCTGATCAGCAACAATGGACCACCCAGAGATCTACAGATAGGCGTTTCTCTAAAATAGGGAGGGAATGGCTGGTACGACAGTTGTACCACAGCCGGCGTTAAAGAAAGTCATTTTCCTGGTACAACTGCTGTATCAGCCGGCTTCAGAAAGTTAACGAGTCTTTTGTTCACGGGTGTATTTATGTGGATAGAAGAGCATTTTTGGAATTTCTGTGGGAGTCAGGACTTTTAAAATGGAGTTTGGCATGTCTGAATATGAAGCTGATAGGAGAAGTTGGACAAAGAATGGTGTTTCTGATAGACTTGTGTGGGTTTGCAGTCAAATGGCTGCTGCTAAAGTATGTGGCTGTGAGCGAAGTTTAAGATTTGGATTGTGGTTTTCGTGTAGTAAGTTAACTTTGGAGTAAGTTTTTATTGTTACTTTCAAATTTTGAATCACAGAAAGACATGTGATATAGCAAAATCGTGGCACTTCTGTTGACAGACATTGTGCGACTGGCAGAATTTTATTCATGTATGTATTATGGTAAGTGCATTTCATTTTATTGTTTTTATTTTGTAGAATGTTATGTTCATTGTTTTTTACTATGAATTTCTGTTGTTAATTGAATTGTTTGTAATTTATTTTAGTTTATTTTGTTGATTTGTGCGCAATGCCTAGATTGTGATATTTGTAGATTTTTTTTAAAGTTTAAACAGAATGTGGTGCACTTGGTATTCTTCGAAATTTATTGTTGTTATGTTAATTTATCAAAGCGAGGTGTGCATAGTTTGTAGATTCTTTCACTGCCTCGATTGTACAGTTCGTAGATTTTTTTTAAAGTTTAAGCAGAATGTTGTGCACATGGTATTCTTTGAAATTTATTGTTGTTATGTTAATTTTTAAAGCGAGGTGTGCATAGTTCGTAGATTCTTTCCTTGACTAGATTGTGCAATTCATAGATTTTTTTAAGTTAAAAGATATCACTGTGTATATGGATTCTTGTCAAATATTTTTGGTTAGAAACTTTACATTTTTGCTATCTAAATTTTTTGCTTTTGTTTCAGATTTTTAGCTTAAATTGTGTGTTCAAAACATGGTTTTTGCATGTGCGAAAACCGCGTTTTGGGACACATTTTAGGCTTAAAGTTCGAAATGTAGACAAAAAATTTAGATAGTAATATGGCACCATAGAGTTTCTCACCAAAAATGTTTGGCGAAAAATTTGGCGACTTGATGGCGCATATAAGAGTTGTTCCAGTTAGTCTGATGCAGGAGGCATGAAGAATGAGCAATGCCCTCACCGAGACTCAAACCTGAATCTCTTGAATATGCGCCGAGTGTGCTACTGTTACACCACAAAAGCATGCTGGAAGGAGTAAGAAAACACCTTACATATCCTAACTGTATGAAGCCTACCAGTAGTTGAACAGTAAAGTCTCTGAAGTACTGGAAGTTTGATGTTGGTTTGATTCCAGGCGAACATGCTGGTTACATGGGCATTTTTGTGGTTTTTGCCATGTGGTTACATGGATACATGACAGTTTCCCTTTGAAAGTCCTAAATGAAAGCATCCTTTTCCTTAGGCAGATAGCCCTTAAGTGCTTTGCCATAACCAAATAAACCAAACTTAATTGTATGACTTATTTACTCTTATTTTTTATTTGAGAGCTTTATTAAACAAATTAATTCTATTATTCACTTATATATAATTTTTATACATTTCTTACTAATGTCTTAATACAATGATGATCACAAAACATTGGTATCTTTTAACTTTAGTTAATCCCAGTGCAGAACAGGAAAAACTTAATATACATTGTACAGTCAAAAGTCGTTAATCCGGACTCGTCGGGACTTCGGCGATTCCGGATTATCGATTTTTCCGGATTATAGATCATCAGTTTAAATCGCCTAAGATGGCATGCAGAAATTCTAAAATTAAAAATATGAAACCGTAATTTATGAAATAAAGAACAATTATGATTTAAAGGGTATCAAAATTTACAAAAAAAAGCTTAATATTTATTTGTTTACTTTATTAAACATTTCTTTCAATGTAAGTTGTTTAAGTTGCTTCGTTTTATGTGATAATACTTTCTCTTTAATTCTATAAACAGCCATAATTTTTTGTTCAGTTACAAAGTTCCGCTGTTCAAGTCCCGTAAATTGCCGTGCCAAGAATACCGACTAACTTGTCAATCGAAAGTTTTTCGTTTTCACTAACCTCTCTGTCACATTCTTCATGTCTTTATCCATTTTTTGCAGCAATTCCACTTTTTGTTTGATGGACATCGAAACATACTTTCGTTTTGTACGATCCTTTGGGAGCTTCAGATTCGGAAATTCTATTTGACATAATCGAAAGTTCAAGTTTACTTTTATAGTATTGCTCTTACAGTCTGCAAAAACTAATAAGCCGGATCCAATTCGAAAATTAAGGAACAACGCAATCATCAACATTAACTGAAATAGATAATTAGATAATTTTAGCTTATACCGTTCGTCATACATAAAACGCGCACGCTAAAACGTATTCTGCGCTTGCGCACACGCAAATGCACAGTCGTAATAAGTCTTACGCGCACGCGTAAACACCTATGCGCATGTGTTAACGAGGCGCATGCGCAGAAAGTTTTTAGCTTTGAGGTCCGGATTATAGATCATTCCGGATTATGAGTCTCCGAATTAACGACTTTTGACTGTATATTGATAAGGAAACTGACTAGGCCAAATTAAAACTTTCAGAGATATGATAATAAAGTTCGAGTTTTTCTAAACAAAGCATTCTACATTCTTAATAACAAGTTTACTGAATGAAAATATTTCAGATTTAGACCTGTGAGGAATTTTTCTAAACTGTCAACATTTTAAGGCAGACATCACTATGCATTATTAAAAATGGGTTCCCATTTTCTTACAACAATGTTTCTCCTGTTGGTATAAACAGTAAACTATTGAACTAATTTTAGAAAATATGCATAGCGAAAAAATACTAGAAAGTCATTAGCATGTTTGGTTAGAGTAGACTGAAGGGTACCCCTTGTATTATCGCAATGTTGTTGTTTCATTTATCACAAAGTTGTTGTTTCATTTATCGTCAAGTTGTTATTTCATTTATGGCAACCTGAGTAGTTGAATGTTATGGAAACCCTATTACGACGTTATCCGTTGCATGCATGATTGCGGTAACTTTTGAATTATGGGATGTTTTGTAAGGGCTTGTAGTGTGTTTTGCTTAGGAAGTACATTGCTTGTTTTGTAGTTTAGACAGTAGAAAGGCTGAATGTAGTACTATTAATTTGAAGTTTCTGTACGATTTGGAACAAAAGGGAAAAAGAGCATTAATTGACTGGTGTGTAAATCAAGGTTTACTTAGTAGCCATTAACTGGACAGTCTGGAACTATGGAGGATATTTTTTACTCTTATTTTTGTGAATTTATGTGGTGACACTGATATACAGATTCAAGTTCAGATAATTTTAGGAAGTTTTGGATGGTGTTCGGGAATTTTGTGTGCCACAGACTGAAGACGAAGAAATTTCTAAATAAAGTAAGTGGATATTTGCTTTGTGCAATGCTTAGATGCATAAGAGGTTTTTCTTTTTCTTTTTTTTTTAAATATTATTTTATTGTTTGGTTTAAAATGCAGTTTATTGAGATTATGTATTTTTTGTTTGCCTGTACTGTAGAATTGGGTGCTCTTTTGACTTTTTAAGTGAAAATATATCGATGTGTACATGGACAAAGTCAAGGGAGTGTGCAATGCCAACTTTGTGCAATTCTCTGATTTTTTTTAAGTGAAAATAGGTTGACATGTACATGGATAAAGGGAGTGTGCAATGCCTATTTTGTGCAATTCCGTGATGATTTCTTTTAAGTGAAAAATAGGTCAATGTGTACATGGATACCAAGTCGATTTTTTAGGCTAAAATCGCCACTACACAAAGCCAAAATAACAAGTCAAAAAATTGCACAAACTCGGCATGTACTGTCAAAAACTGCCAATTTTCGCCAAGGGGTATCCATAAGTATACTTTTACCGCATGTTTTCTAAAATGCATGATAAAAAAGCATTGCCACTTTCTGATAATTATATAATTTTTTAACTTTTTGTACTCAATTTCTGTATTTAGAAGTGTTGTCTATATTTGTTTGTCTGTATTTAGAAGTGTTGTTGTTGTTTTTACATATTCTAAACTAAGAGGAGACAAAATGTGGTAATTTAAAACATACAAGAAATAATTGATACAATGAACCCTTCATTTCAGCAGCTAATAATTCATATTCATTACTTGTAGTATGTCACAGATTGCAGTACTATTTTAATTTGAAAATATTTTAAGAAGTTATCAATACATCCCCAACAAAAGATAAACCTACACACAAATTTTTCACATTACTTCACAAATACTCAAAATGTTTAAACGTTCAAAACGTTTTTCAAATCAATGGCATTGCACTGTCTTTTACAACTTTCCCAAAAACCTTTCAGCAAAATGCTTCTGAACAATATAGGTCAGGAAAGAGCTATTCAATTAATATTAAATATAATTTTAAATGCAAAGTAGGTTTCATTTGTAATAACACGTATTAAACTTCATTATTTTCAAAATTACATTGACTTTACATTCAATTCTGGAAATAGAATTCAATCTTATATAACAAGAAATCAAAAGTAATTTCATGTAACATTACGCACAATAAAAAATAATCTATCATATGACCCACAAGTGCACTATTATCAACTTACTTCTATCATCCTTTGAATAATTCTTAACGTGAATGCTTCGTCTATAATTTTCTTATTTGAAAATATTACAGTATATCAAACCTAAAAAAAGTAGCAAGTTATTCAAATTCATAATTTACATATAAAATGTAGTTTATAGAGATTGTAGAAACATAAATTAAATATTACAGAAATCTAATACATGTATGTAAATATTTATAACATGCAGATAACCCTAATGTGCTTTTCCGTAATCAATTAAATTTAAAACCTAAACATAAATGTGTATAAATATCTATACAGTATAATCTTAAAATCATTCTGTATCTAAACTTTCCATATTTCAAGCATACTTTTGAACTTTTAATAATAAAACCAACTAAAAAAAAAAAAAATATGAAAGCTTTTAAATTTTACATTATGCTCAAAGGGGCTTTTTTTTTTAACAATTTGTGTGCTCCCTTTACTTATTAAATATCATGTCCCTTGCACTTAAAGCATAAATTTCAACAGCAAAATCGCAAAATAATTTTAGAATAAGCATATCTTTAGAATTTCAATACACAGTCTTGCAAGCTAGACACAATTTTTTTTCCCCCATAGAGTATTGCATTTGTTCGCTTTGAAATCGTTTTAATCAAAAATTCGTTAAAGTGTTTCAAAATAAGAAATCAATTATAAATCAAATTCCAAATGTCAAATTTGGGCTTCAAGATACCCACATATTTGCAGGAGGATTATGTTATTAAAAATTTGATGGCTCTAGGTACCATTGTTTTATCACAATGTGAGAAACATTTATTTTAACATACATCTATGCAGATTCTTGATTATTTAATTGCTTTAAATATAATACAGGGTGATAATATTTGGTGGCAACAATCTGAAAACGCAAAATACCAAAACAAAATTAATAGTCCTTGTGAGCAAATTGCACCTTTGGACTAAAAGGTAACAAAAATACCATCATTAAAAATACGCTTGCAAAAAAGAAGAAAGAGCTGCAAAACCCAGAACATCACATAATATAAACTGAATTCTCGATTTTAAATAATTTTTTGCACTGGAGAATCAGCAGTCAGCAGCTTTTAAAACTAGTTGCATCAGACAATTTCCAATGAAAATCTCAGGGTTTGAAAAATACATATAACAATTGTCCATTACCTTTTTCTCCCAATATTAACATTTTATAAAATTTAATTTTCCATTTTAGTCATAGCATCAAATGCAGTACTTAAAACATTGTGACTGTGGTTCTTCCTACCAGCACATATCCAAACATAGAAACAAACATCAGCAAGTTTATCTGTCTCATTAATTATGAGGACCAACATTTAATTTTCAATAGTACTACCCCATTTTGCTGGCACAGGCGATAAAGTCGCCAAAAATGATGCAACTGATGCCAAACGTAATATCCCTGCTGGTAACCTTTTACAGCCACTTTTTAAAACAAGTCACAGCCATTTCTTATCAGTTACATCTTTTCTATAATACATCAAAACAAACGATAAACTAATGAAAATTTGGACTTTACCCAGAACATAGAAAGAATCTGTTAGATTCCTCCTAGCAAAAGGCATTGCTAAAATTGCTTCTTGTGATAATACTCAGTAAATGAAACTACATTTCGGGGATGAAGTTCAATTGCACTGCAATCTTTCAACTTGTCGCAGCAAAAGAAGTATTCAAAAATGCACACGGTTCTATCATCGAAACTGAGTTTTTTGAAGAATGTGAGATATATTTATGGATGGAGTGACGAATTAACTTCAGTTAAATGATATGAAAAGCAGCTGGAAATCAGTTACAGAACAGTTGTTGACTAGAGTATCTACATGTGCGAGGTTTGTGTGGATTCTTTGCTTGAACGTCAACAACGGAAAATAGGAGGACCTGGTATGATCATCAAAATGGATGAAAATATGTTCACAAAGTGCAAAAACAATGCAGGAAGGGCTCTACTACAATGGTCGATCTTTGGTGAAGTTTGACATGAAACGAATGTTTCACAGGGTTCATAGCCACATTTTAGTTAAAAAAATAAGCACCTATAAGCACTTTTCAAGAACATTTTAAGAAAAAAATAAGCACCTGTCTAATTACATTATACACAACTGCATAACCTTAAAAATTAGACTTGTAATTAAAAATATGAGAAATGCAGTATTTATTAAGAAAGAATAAGCATTACCTCAACCATGGAAAATAATTACTTTTTTTTTTTTTTTTAATTTTAAATAATAGTTCAATTTACAGAACTAGTTCACAATGAGAGGGGAAAAAAAAACTATGCAGAACGAAATTATATTACAAGATTTAATGATGAAATTTCAGTTCAAAATAGAGAAAAAAAAATAATAAGGCATATTTATTGTATTCACTTGGAACCTAATAATAAATACAATTTTATTTTTCCACTCATATTGATATTTAAATAATTTAAATCTAAATTCTAAACATTTTCTAAATTTTCATTGTATATCAGTTTTCTCTTAACAGATATTGCAAGCAAAGTAATTTAAGTAAAAAAGAGGAACATTTCTGAAATCAGAAGACAGAAATTTGCTTCATGCAGTCATCCTTTAACAGTAAAATCTTAACTAACCCGCATACTTGGAAATTGGCGAATATTCGGACAGTCGAGCGTAACTTGAAAAAGAGGAGCGGAGGGGTAGACTGTAGCCGCTCTTTAAATTTTTCCGCTAAATAAATGCTTTTGACATTTCGATATGCGCATCATATAAAAATAAACCAATGGAACTGAAAAATATTCTGCTTAGCAGGCACAGTAAAACTCTTTTAAGTGTTCATAAACAAATTTCGGACAAAACATCAAAATTAATTATCTCTGCAAAATATTGCAAGCGTTATTGCGCAATACGTGCGCCGTAATTCTTCCCTACATGATATTACGCAATCGGAATCAACAGCTGCCAGTATTGGGAGAATAAAGAACTAAATAACTGGGGTGTTTTTCATTCTAATTTTCAACAGACGGCGTTAAATTTCCAGAATAGAATCATTCTTCGCTTGGGTTGGTAGACCGCAGAACTTTTAGTCCTATTCAATCCAGATTGGAAAGTGACCAAAAAAAAAAAAAAAAAAAAAAAAAAAAAAAAAAAAAAAAGTCCGTTGCTTGTTTTGCAGCGAACTGTAACAGTTTCAATATTCGAGATTTTGCGGAGAAAGGGGAGAACCTCCCAATCTTCGTACTGTATAATGTATTGGCCAAAAAAACAAAATTATTTTGACTATTCGATTACTTTCCCTTTATTTATTACTTTCGCATTTCTTTGACCAATAGAACGACGGGCACCTGTCTGTACTCTTCGTGCACACCAAAGGTTATGTTAATGCAGAGAAAGGGGAAAAGCTATTTCCGGGAGGCATATTTCACAAGTGCACATCTGCGTAGCCACCGGAGGCGTGGCTTCTAGGATGGACCAATGGTCTTCTAGCAATACTTCTCTCATGTCACATGACCTTTCGCGCGCTTTAAGCAAGATGGTTGAAAATATTTTGCCGCGCAATTTCCAGTATAAAATAATTAAATCACAATCGATTTCTACTGAAACTTTTTACTGCGAAGTCAGATCAAATATAAACAGCTGTGAAGATTTCACTACCTGGTTGAGAGAATTTGAAAGAAATACTAACACATGTTGGATACTTCGAAAAAGTTCAATTGATCAATCTCGATTTCTGTTTTCAAGGAACTATATTTGTCAGCATTCTTCATATCGTAAAGTAAAGGTATGCACTTAAATTTACAAGTTCTATAACAGTTATGGTAACTGTAATTATTATTTAATGTACTGTATCTGAACTGAATTTAGTGCTGTTTCAGTTACTACATTTAGTTCAGACGAAAAAATATATATTTCTATACATTTGGAATAAAAATTGTCTTAAAATTTTTAAATACAATTGCATAAATTTATTGAGAGTAATTTAAAAACTCTCAATAAAATTAGGAAATTCTATATTATTAGTATATCTATATTTTGCATCCGCATGAAGATTTAATCCAGATTCATTTAATTATTCAGGCTTAAATTTACTACTTAAAATATTATGAATGCTGTTATTTTGCAGAAAAAAAAAACTATACAACAAATAAAAGAAAAATAAATGCAAATTAAAAATGTTAGTAATGTCTATTACTAGAATTTTAGCTGTACTAAAAAAGGTATCAACATTTTATAAATAGAATTTTATTTTAATTAGAGTTACTCATGATTCATCAGAATTAGTTTGATGTTGTGAATATTATGTCAGCCTGAAGAGAACTTTATCAAAATATGTTTAAATATAAAATATGGTTTCTCAGTGCATTTAAGAACTTCATTTGTGTTATATACTGTTGTTTAAAACTTTAATTCTATAAGAAAAGTTCCGTATTAATTTCTATTAAATGATTTTAACATTAAAATACCTTTTAGAATGGTACAAATTATATATGTATTGACTTTCAGATTCCTAACTGACTAACTCAGGTTACTAAAATGCGATACTACTGTCATATTAAATTTGCTATGAATTTAATCAGATTTGTCAACAAATTATAGTATTTACTTATACATTTATGATGGTGCTCCTTTCATCAGTATTTGATAAACAAAATATTAAGATCTGCGAAAATTTATAATATCTGAATCAGTTAATAACTAAAAAATAACATTCTCTTATGCCAATATACATTAATGGCTTGTGGCTATATATATATATATATATATATATATACAACCACAATGTGTGTGTATATATATATATATATGTATGTATATGTTATGTATATATTAACAATATATATATATTTATAATTATATATTATTATAATATATATATTATAAATGTTGAATAATATAATATATATATATATATATATATATTATAAATAATATATAACGACATTTTAAATATATGAAGTATAATAATATCGTGGAATTAACACAATGAATGCATTAACTTAATTAGTAGATGTTAGCTCAAAATTAAGTCCAGGTTTCAACACTGTTGTAACTCTAATCAATGTAAAATCCATTTTTTTATTAAGAAAGAATTTATAAAATTAAGAATAAAGCCCATAAATCTATCTTTTTTATAGCATTTGAGTAAAAACATAATGGATTGTCTGAAACTTGAGACATAATGAACACGTTTTATTAACCTAATCTGTCCATTACCCTCTGCTTGGACACCTTTTTTTTTTAAGTACATCTTCCATAGAAATCATGTAATTATATTCAATAGACTAATTTATAAGATGAAATTATTTTTATAACATTTTTATGATGGTCAGTGTCAAGCTACTGATCTTAAAGCTGCGCTTGTTAAATATACAAATTTTAATCACATAAAAAATGAAAGGTTTCTTTCTGTTAAGAATGTATCAAGATTCTGTATTCATTATGTAAAGAGATTCTGTGAAAATTTTATTTTAATCTACGTCTGGTCTGTTTTCAAATAATGATCTTCCTTTTTTAATTTAGACTGAAGGTAAAGATAAGAAATGCACTGCTTCTTTAAACATTCGAATAAAACGAAACAGCAAATACACTCGTTACAGAGATCCTTTGATCAGTGAAGGTTACTGTGCTGTTATTCATATAAATAATAATCACAGTCACAGAACTGGAGTTGCAGAAGCATGGAACTGGCTTCGCAGATCTGAAGAAACACAAGATATTTTTATAAATTTATTTAATAATGGTAAGTTATTTGTAAATTTCTTGTAAAAATCCTTTTCTATACAGAAACATATCTCTTAATGGTGGTTTACAACAGATATGCATTTTAATACTTTTAACTAGGTGTACAGACATGACCAAACTGTTAACCAGAGAACAGGGGCTCCATTACCTAGCTGACATGATGTCTGCCTTACACGGATTAAAGCCCCTGCCTCCAGAAGCTATTTATTATCACTAAGCAAAATAAGTTTACAGTGGCATACAAGGCCTTCAAGTACACAAGGACATAAGTAACATAGTTATTAATAAACCCTAAAGAAAGCATAACAAGTAGTATTTTCAAACAATAACCGGTATACTTTCATTTTGTATTCAAATGAATACTTAAACTGAGTCCAAAATAATACAAAATATGGTCAAAACAAAAAATTTGTACGTATATCACAATAGTGAGTGAGTGAGAGTGATTATGGCGCAAAAACCAGAGATGATTATGACGCGCCAAACAAAAGATGAGATGATTACAATTGATGACATTAAAATTCAATAAATAAAAACAAGTAGATAAATGTACCAAATCCAGAGGATGAAGTCATATAAAAACAAGTTAAAAGCACATATTAACAATTCAAGACACAGTCTTCAAAACAAATTACATTTGGTAATAAAAGCCAATCTCTTTTAAATAATAAAATAAATTAGAATTGACCTCTCTTCCGATTAAACGGTCGAGAGGTAAGTCACAGCTATTAAAAATATTTCTGGCGAAGACTATTAAAACATGGACACTCAATTAAAATATGACGAACAGATAAACAAACATTACAATTAAAACAAACAGGCTCATTTTCAGCTTTAAGAAGATAGCTTATGTGTGACTCTAGTATGACCAATTCTGAGGCGAGTCAAAAGAACGTCCTCCTTACGATTTCCAGCAAAATCCCAATGCTCAATTCTAGGTTTGATGTTTCTCAACTTGTTGTGATGCTGAACATCCCAAATTTGCTGCCATTTTTTTCGTATCTTTCCCTTGATGACACAGCAGATGTCTCTCTAAAAGGGATAAGGCGACTGGACAGTTCGACAGCAGATTTTGCCGCGATGTCTGCAAGCTCGTTTCCCTTTATTCCCGTATGCCCGGGAACCCAGCAGTACAGGATTTCATATCCTCGTAATCATTAAATTTCTATGAATTTTGAGAACATCCACTACCACAGGATTCTGAGCGTTGGGAAAAGCTTCCAAGGATTTAAGAGCACTATACGAGTCTGTGTAAACTATGAACTTTTTGTGGCAGAGCTTTGAGATGTACAAAAGAGCATAATATATTGCAGTTAGTTCAGATGTTAGGACAGAGAAAGCATGGTGCAGGCATCTGCCCTCTATGTAATTTTCAAATACAAAAGCCATCCCGACATGATCATTTGACTTTGATCCATCTGTGTATATCGGATAATAACTGCTATATTTGTGCCTGTGCTCAGCGAAAAGTTGTCTGTAAACGATCTCGTTAGTGCTCGCCTTTACGTGATGTTTAAAAACATCAAGAAGCTGGATCCGTGAATTTTCCCAAGGTGGAATTTCAAAATTCTGTACTGCTTGGGGGTGCATGCATATCAGAGAGGGAGAGTTCCTCAATGACAGGGCGAACTCTTAAAGGGAAAGTAGGAACACAGGATGGACGTGTTTCAAATAATGTGTTACACTCATTATCAAGTAAGCACACAGCTTATTGGGATGTTCAGGTTGTGAGATAGAGTATTAAAATATTGCAAAAGGGACAATTGCTCACGCCTCAGATAAAGTGATGGTTCGTTACAGTCAACATATAGGCTCTGCACAGGAGAAGTCCTGAACAAATCCGCAGAGCCTTGATGGTGAACAGGATCCAGTTTTAACAAAACAGATGACCGAGCGGATCCATAAACAACTGAGCCATAGTCCAGTTTAGAGCGGATAAAGCGCTCTGTAAATGCGAAGCATGGAGCAACGCTCTGCACCCCAGGAGGTGTTCGCCAACACTTTTAAAATATTTAGTGTTTTTAGACACTTCTTTCTCAGGTTTAAAACATGAGAAAGGAAAGTCAATTTTCGGTCGGTCGAACGTCACTCCTAAAAATTTTACTTCAGGCGCAACTGGAATAATTGTACCATTCAAGTATAACTCAGGTTCAGGATGGAGACCTCGCTTCCTACAAAAGTGCACGCACAGACAGTTTTCTGTTTCGAAAATGTAAATCCCTGTTTGTCTGACCATTCTTGGATCTTAATTCAGAGCCATCTGCAGTTGCCTCTCTACATATCTCATGTCTGCTCCTCGACAGCTAATCTGCAGATCATCAACATATAGAGATCCCAAGATGGTGGGAGGAAGTTCTTTTAGTATACAGAATTTATTTTTAAACTAAACAGGGTTACACTGAGCACACAGCCTTGAGGCACACCCTCTTCCTGTTCAAAAACATCCGAAAAAAACAGAGCCAATTCTTACTTGAAAAGTTCTAGTGTTCAAGAAATTTGAATGAAAATTGGTAGGTTGCCGCGCAAGCCACTCTCGTGAAGATCCCGGAGTATACCGTATCTCCATGCCTTATCATAAGCTTTTTCAATGTCGAAGAATATCGAGACAAGGTGGCTTCTTCTTACAAATGCTTTTCGAATAGATGTCTCTAAGAGGAGCATGTTATCTACAGGTTGTTCTTCCCTTTCGAAAACCACTCTGATAAGGCGATATAATATCATATTCTTTTCCAAGAAGTAGACTAGGCGGCTGTTTACCATCTTTTCAAACAGTTTGCAAGGCAACTCGTAAGGGCAATTGGCCGATAGTTGGAGGGATTCCTTGGATCTTTCCCTGGCTTAGCAATAGGAATGACAACAGCTCTCCTCCATGCACTGGGAAATGTACGCTCCTTCCACACTCTATTGTAAAGTGTGAGAAGGGCATTCAGTGACTTATAGGACAGATGCTTTAGCATTTCATAATTCACGCCATCAAGACCCGGAGAAAGACCTATGTGTCTGCAATAAAGCTCTCCTTAATTCAAGCCATAGTAAAGTCTCTATTGTAAGGCTCAGATTTGGAAGAGTTGAATGCGATGGGATTTATTTCAGAGTGCTGCTTGATAGAAAGAAATGCAGGTGATAGTTTCTGCTGGAAGAAACGGCAGCAAATGTCTCACCAATAGTATTCGCAATTTCTTCTATGGAGCTAATCACTCGGCCATCTTTTTCCAAAAAGGAAAGTGAGTGGTCTTTATATTCCGCATGCTTTTCGAACTCTTTCCCAAACCCGCTTACTAGGCGTGGAGGATGTTATTGACGACACATATGAAATCCAGGAATCCCTCTGGCTCTGCCTTCTTACTTTTCGTGCATTTGCTTTGGCTCTTTTAAAGGCTATGAGGTTTCGCAGAGTAGGATATCTACGAAAAATACCCCATGCTTTTTTCTGTTTTTTCAGTGCTTCATGACAGTCGCGATTCCACCATGGTTTTGAATATTTTAGTAGTTTTCCTGATGTTCTAGGAATCGAAAGCATAGCTGCCTGAATAATAGTATTAGTAACAGCTTCAACAGCGTCATCGATATGCGCATCTTCTACCATTTCATCTGTGAGCTCTGCAATGGAAGAGAAGAGTTCCCAGTCTGCCCTGTCCAGTATAAATCGAGGGGATCTCGACATGGGGTTTGCTCCTCTTCGTGCAAGAGACACAAAATGGGATAGTGATCGCTGTTGTAAAAATCATTTCCCACACTAAAAATGCAAAATGGCAACAGAGATGGTGAACAGATGGCAAGGTCGAGAGCATGGAATGTTTTTGAAGGCTCATGGAAGTAAGTATCTTGCCCATTATTGAGGAGACAAAGGCTATGATCTTCGATCATCTGCTCAATTTGTCTTCCTCGGCAATTTGTATCTTTACTACCCCAGAGCGGACTATGGCCGTTAAAATCTCCTATTATGATGAAAGGCTCAGGCAGCTGCTCTAAAAGACCATTTAAATCTTGCTGATCAATATGCTCATTTGGAGGCAAATACAGAGAAACAACTATAACAACAATATCAAAATTTGTTTGAGTAGCGACAACTTGGAGGGATGTCGTCAAAGAAAGCACATTTGAGGGATAATCCAGTGAGGTGAGGAGACCTACACCTCCACTGGCACGCTCACCTGCAAGGTTATCTTTCCTGACGAAGGAAAACCTCCGAAGTTTTGCCTGTTGTTCTGGTTTTAGATTTGTTTCCTGTATTGCGAAGCATACAGGATGATAAGCATTAATTATGGCTTTGATGTCGAGCAAATTTCGGTGGAAACCGCGACAGTTCCATGAGACGAGGGTGGCCATTATGACTGGTTTTTGTTCTTTCTGTGCTCTTGTTTGGTTTTTCGTGGAAGTAGATGCCTGGGAACTTCTAGACCCTCTTCTACTTCCATAGTGTCTGAATCCGCAGATTCAGAAATCATTTCGTCAAAAGAGCTATTGCTGGGACTTCTATTTTTATTAATTATTTTGTGACTTTCAATTTTGGTTTACTTTGAATGACTGTTTCTTTTTTTTTTGTATTAAATGAGTTGCATTTTCCGTTTTCTTGGTGGATGTGTTTGGTTGGGTTTTATTTGGTTTAGTCTCTGCGTGCCTATTGATGTTTGGGTGGCAATGCTACGTGTTGTTTTAACTGCACTGGCATAAGATTTGTTTGATTGGAGCTGTGTGTGCTTTGAACTAGTTTCTGGCTTCAGGCATACGAGATGTTCCTGGTAACTTTAAGCAGTCTGTACTTCTTTTTCGGATTTCCATTTTGGGCAGAGGCGTGAAAATGCTGGGTGCTCACCCTTGCAATTTATACACAAAGGCGCAGCGGTACAATTTTCAGAATCGTGGCCAATCTGTGAGCATCGGGCGCATGTGAGGCTGCCACGACAAGACGTCTTAGAATGGCCGAAACGCTGGCATTGGAAGCATCGCATAGGGTTGGGAATATAAGGTCTTACAGGACAATTTAAATATCCGGCCTTAATATTCTTAGGCAGATCAGGCGTGTTGAAGGTAAGGATCACGTGTTTCGTATCGATCAACTTACCTTCCTTACGCATCTTGATCCGCCTAGCACCGCAGACATTTTGGTCGGATAGCTCGGAAGCGATCTCTTCTTCAGAAACATAAAGAAGGTCGAATTCCGAGATTACACCACGACAATAATTTAGTGTCTTATGTGCTGTTACAGTGACATTCGCTTGCCCAAGTTTAGTTAATCTGAAGTAAAAGAAGCAGACTGGGTGGCTGAGTTTGTATCAATAAGCAAGTCTCCGGAGCGGAGACGCTTTATGTTTCTCGGCTCACCAATACAAGACTGGATGTATTTATTTATTACGAAAGGAGACATCTTATGCATTTCGCCAGAAGGACTAGAGATGACTAGGAAACGGGGACTATTGTTATGATTTTTTTTATTTGCATCTGTCCGTAATTTTTTTGCAGAATTTTCAGAACTAGGTTGAGTGACTGGTTTAGTAGTAGACTTTTCAGAACTAGGTTGAATGATTGGTTTATTAGTAGTGGTTCAGTAGGTTGAGTGACTGGTTTAGTATAGGTTTCAGAACTAGGTTGAGTGACTTCGTTTGATTTGAATTTAAGCCATGTTGAAGATAAGAAAGATTCGGGTCCGACGGCCCCGCCCACCACGGAGCCCAACAAGGGAACACACAGATTCCTGTGTTAGGGCTAGCCGGACCTATACGCAAACTGAAGCCCCACAGTCGGCTTTCCCGAAAGCAGGTACTCCCGAGAGCTCCCACAGCCAAGACACCCCAAGCCACTGACACAAGGACTAGTGACCAGCCGATTGACACCCGTGAGGACGACTAAGGTGCCTCCCGTTTAGCTGAAGCAGAGGCCAAAGCAGTGTGTTGGGGGACAGTACCTCGCCCCTCAACTACCAGGACCCTCCTTTCCAGCGACACGGGTCTCCACGCACGGCAAACACGTGGGCAGTTTTCTCGCCACTCGAAAATAGAAACAAGGGTCTGTTCCAGTCTCTCGTGACGAGCCCCAAACTCCGTAGAGAGAAAACCACAAGGGAGAAGGGAAGGGGAAAAGTTCCAGCAAAGAGGAGAGGAGACGGAAAAGAGGATAGATCACTGGGGCTCCAGGATCGTGACACCCGTCTCACCAAGAAGATGATCCCCTGAAGGGCTAGGGTACCTCGGGATTGCCACACCCGTACTCACAAAAGTGAGCCCCCTGAGGGTATTATACACAATTAACTTCAATTAGATTCACAATATCAAGAAGAACCATTCAATTTAGAAAAAATGCATAAAGTTAAACTAAGACAATATAAAACTGCCAAATAAAATTTCTTCATATGAATTCAGAATTAAGAACCAACTTTGATAACTTTTATCATAAAATGAACTGAGATATTACTACAATACAAAAAATCTGGTTTAAAAAAAAAAACCACTCCAAGTAATATAAAAATTCTACATCAGGTTTGCTGGCAACTCGATAGAAATGCAGGTAAATTTATGTCAAGTTGGTAGAATATATTAGCCTAAAAATTCACAGATCACTGGCATTCATAATCTATATAGTATTTGGAAAGTTGCAACTCTCTCCTCCCCACAATTAAAAACTCAACAGAGCTGTTCTGAATATGTCTTTTGTGATATTCCTTGAAGTTTCCCTTGCGGGGGTCACCTGAGGGGCTGGTAATAGTGTGATGGAATTCACGCTGACACCAGCCTAATGCTCAGTATCAGTTCTGAATATATACATGAAACAAACAATGATACTTTTCTAATAGGCACCTGCCAAGCATTTTTAATTGTAAACAACTTTCTGTTATAAGAATAGTTTATAGATGGCACACACACACAGCCTACCTTTCCATTATACACACACATGCCAAAATGCATGGCAGGTATTTAACAGAAAAGTACTCAAACAATAATTCTAAATATATCAGTGCTACTGTATGTGAAAGAAAACACTAACTACTTTATATAAAAAATTATTTGAAAGTTTTCCATTCTTAATTTAATTTTAATGAAAATCAACTTTCGATCAAACTTACAGATTTACAATCATGCTGTATTAAGTTAAATTTTTAAACTTCTGTTTTCTTACTTTCTTACTTATAAATATATGCATATAGAAAGTATTTAAAAATACTTTATTTACAATAATGATCTTGCAGTTTAAAAAGCAGTATTTTTTACAATGTATATTATACTTGTACTGAATTTTTTTCTTTACACCAAGCCAACAGATGGGCTTTCTGCGGGCTTTGTTCATGAATCAAGGTCCATATTAAAATGCTCATGAAACATGCGAAATCTTGCTTTACCTTTATTGTAAGCAATTGGCAGATGAATATATTCATAGTTGGCTTATGAGGGGCTATACTATCAGTATACTCATCTAGTTCTTAAGAAACAAACTAATTATGTTTTGCTAATGTAGGAGGGTGGGTGGGAACTGCATCATTCATAGCTGAACATCAGTTTCTGAAAATTAAAACACTATTTTAATTTTCACCCACAATTATTAGGTATGACGCCAGCAGCTGCAAAAAATTTCCACGAATCGTCATTAATGATCGAATCTCCCAGAACAACTGGCCAACAGCAGAATTAATCCACCTGCAAAATGGATTTACCAAATTCATGAAAAATGGTTAAAAAGAAAATTTTGGAGGATTGAACTATGGACCAGATTTTGAAAAGTCAGTATTTTATCATGATAATTAAAATGTTCCAGTAATATAACGTACTTGCTAAATTTTTATAATAATTATGATTTCTCTATTAAATTTTAGAGTTACTAGTAGAAATTTAAAAACTAGTAATACAATATCTTGCTCTACATATTAAAACTATACACAATTTTAAAATAAGTAATGATTTCAATTATAATTTTTTAAGTAATTTTAATTTCTACTTAGATAATAAGAATTTAAAAAGGCTTTATTACTTCACTTCCACATGCATAGAAACAAATCCTAAATATCACAGCCTGAATGTAAATTATATCTGAAGCGTTATATTTTAAAATGGTGATCTAAATATGTTTAGTTAACTGATATAACATCTTGTTAATTGCTATATTTATTCATCATATCAAAGAACACTGTAGGGTTTGAATGTGTATAATACTTTAAAACTACTCAAGCAGCAGCAAAGAAATTTAAAAAAAAGTTTTCTGAAAAGTTACATTTAATTAATTATATATTATTTCTAATAGGATTTGATATATCACATTACAATTACAAAACAATGGAAAGTGTTAAATATATATACAATACAATAATCCACTTAGATTAGTAATATTTCTAAATAGTTTAATAAAAAGGCATGAGAGAATTGTAATAAAGTTAGTGGTTAAATAATCATTTTTGTCAATATTTTCAATAATTATTTATATGCTTTTTAAATTATGCTTAAATCTGTGAGCTTATGAATACAATTACAGTTTCAATATGCAAAATTAAAGTGCATGTTATAGAGTAAATGCATAATAATTAAATATATATATATACATATCTAAGGAATAAAAGAAATATATATATATATTTCTTTTTATTCCTTAGAATTGCACTAAATACAGAATTAAAGAGTATCAAGAAAAAGGATCACTTATCGAATTTGCAACTAATCCTCTCTGCATAGCAGTCATAACACCCCTAATGCAAAGAATGGTGAAAAGTTTGGAAAAATCACATTCCATTTTTGTAGACTCTAGTGCATCATGTGATCAGGCAAAGAGCTCTATAACTGTGGTTTTAGTTTCCACAAAAGCTGGGGCAATACCAATCGGGATAGGTATACATAGCTTTCAAAATGAAGCAAATTACTCGAAACTGTTCTCCCAGTTGAGAGAGATGTGGGAAAAAATTAACTTATTCACAATCGAAAATTTTATGACTGATGACAGTGCAGCTTTAAAAGCTGCATTACGCCAAATTTTCCCAAGTACGAGGCAACTACTGTGCCAGTTTCATGTTCCACAAGCTTTCTGGAGATGGTTGTGGAATTCCAAAAACAATATAGCAAATGATGATCGCAAAAACATCATGTTTCTGTTTAGACAAATAATGTACGCTACCAGTGTAGAAGAATATGCAGAGAATGTTAATAAATTTTTTAACTCAAAGTATGTACAGAATTATCCAAATCTAATAGCACACGTATCCAGTTTCTTAAAAAGAAAAGAAGAATGGTGTATGTGTTACAGACTGGATGTTCGAAATCTTAGCCATAATACAAACAATTATTCAGAAGCTACAGTAAGGATATTAAAAGAAATAATTCTGACACGCCTCAAAGCATTCAACTCAATAGCTTTATTAGAATTTGTGCTTAAAATTTTGGAAAAGTATTTATCTAAAAGACTGCTAGATATCGTGTTCGATCGCTTGAAGAAACCACATTTGCTTTTTCAAAAGTATATTGATAAAGGGCAAAAAATAATTGAAGAGTGTACAGTGGAAAAAGAAGACAAAATTTACATTGTGCAATCACAAAATGATAACACATTTTATCAAGTTGATATTGGCATATGTAGTTGTCCTGTAGGAATCCAAGGTGCTTTCTGCAAACATCAGGCAGCTGTACACATTAAATTTGGTGTGTAACATTTCCAAATGCTCCCATATTAACCATGCAAGAAAAGAAAAATTATTATTGTATTGCTGTAGGCAGTACAAATGTTTGTATGAGCTTTTTTAGAACCAATGACACCTGGTCCCAGTCATTCCAGTCAAACTACAGATATTATATTCCAGACAAACTACAGAAATAGATCCATATACCGAACAAGAAAATGCTAACAGCTTACAATCTACAAAATACTTTTCTCAACTCTTTTTCTGATACTGTTGTAAACAGCCATGGAGACACATTCAATTCATCATGCATATCAAACAACAGAGAAATCAGTATCTTCAGAAAATGCTAGCATCATATCAAAATTTCGAAGTGAAATGGATCGCCTAGCCAACCTCATGGAAAACAACCCTGATACTGGTATTTTAAATTTGACAGAAAAATTTTTGCATAAAACTAAAAATATTTGTACAACATCAGATTTATATCATTTTTTTTTACCAATACTCAAAAAACAAATCAACTTTTCGTTTTGGCCGAAAAATTAAAGTGCAGCCAACTTCAATAGCTCGACGAAAAGCTTCATCATCAAGAGGCAGTTTAACTGTTCGTGCTGGAAGACCTCGAACAGGCATTAGCATAAAATCAAAATGACCACGATGTCTTATACAAAATATTTTACAAAATCGTCCAAATGCTATAAGCCATGGAGAAGGTCACTAGCATATTTTAGTTGAATTAGTTATGGTATTGAATGTATTTACTTTTTTTATATTTATATTGTTGTATTTACTTTAAATTGATAGAAATAAAATAAGAATATATTTAATTTCAGAAATTATATATATGTGCCTAATTAAACAATAAATGATTTTATTTTGAAAGACACAGTTTTAATTATGCAAAACTTATAAACTGAAGATTTTTCTGTCATGCAAAACATTATCTAACACTATATCATATTTTACAAGGTATAGGCAACTTATAACAAACAAAAGAAAATTTGAATAAAAATATGTTCATATTTAATGACTAAGGCCACAATAGGCAATTGAAACTAACTTTGAGCACCTGGCAGCAAAATATGAACTATATGTTCAGATTTTGTAACTTTAGTAAAACAATTATACCCATTTTTTCAAAACATTCATTATAATACTGAAGGTTTAATTAATTTTCAGTGTTATAGGTAACAAATTATATTGCAGTTTAAAAATTTCTGCTGTAATGATATATTAATCTCACAGTATTGCATAAAGTGAAAACTATATTGTATTTCAAAGATTTCTATGTATGGTAAATGTTATTGTCATACATTAATTTCCATTCTAATGCATAAATTTCTACATACAACTATGTAGTGTACCAAATACATTTTAATCTGATAAAATCAACATTTGCAGAAGTTCTTACTCTGCAAATGTTATTTATAAACACAAAAAACTGATTTGTCTTGCAATATATATGTGATATTTTAGAAACATTAGATGAAGAAACCAAATATGCAGCTAGCTTTTAGGAAAGTAGCAATCATGATAACCGAGCTGAGTATAGGAAGAGATGCAGAAGTGTCGTAATTGGATGTTGTCTGTTTTGAAGCAAGCAGAAAAAATCAATCAAAATGGAAACTTTTTTTAAATATTTGATTATTTTTCTCTTTCAGAAATATCATATTGAATAGCACAGCATAGTGGAGTAAAAATGTGCAATCCCACAATTTTAAATATGAAGTTACTAGTAAATAATAAAATAGTTTACTACCTCTATACATTTTATTCTTTCATGACAAGCTATACTTTTAGTTTGAACTAATTAGTTCAAAATGCTCCAACATATTTTGGTGTTAACAGGCAGCAGCCAAACTATTCATGCTGTTTGGCAAGGAAGTATATTTTCAACATCAGCAGGTATTTAGATTATTTTCAGCAACACAGGTATTTAGATTTCTAATGCACATTATTTGGCACTCGCATCAAACAGATTACTGTTCTCTACAGTTAATCGCTGCCTCCATATAAACACTGCTACGAACGCAAGTGACTTTTCTATAGCAAAGTCCACTTCTTAATTTTAACACTTTCATGGCAGGTTTGTTGACGTTACATATACATGGTATATCTTCCATAATGTACAATGTTGTTGCATAAGAACTGGCAGTCTCATGATTTTCTGTCAGAGACATGATTTTCTGTCAGAGACTTATCTGAAATTATTAAATTATTTTGGGGGGAAGTGTAGAATCACCCACTGCTTGGCGCGTTTTTAAGAATTGCACATACTCAGTATCCATGTACACATCGTCCTATCTTCACTTAAAAAATAAAGAAAATTGACAAAAATCCAATTCTTCTTACTCTTGTAAAAAGCGCCAAACAAACACCAATCACACAAGTGGGCGATTATGCACTTTAGCCTATTTTTGCTTCATTTCTTGGCAGATCTAGTAAATACATCATGTAAAATACATTAAAAACTAAATTTATAAATAAATAAATAATAATTACAATAAAACAATGATATAAACAATGTCCTCAGAACTTTACATGGGGAAAAAATTACCCCTTTTCCTAAGTTATGAAATGGATTCCTTTAAGTACAAATATTCATGTGAAATATTACTTAACTAGTGGTAAATAAGATGTAAGAAACGTGATAAACATCTGAGCTCAAATGCTTTCTTTACATAAAATTATGCATATGAGAATAATATTTAAACCAATTATACTTGTATATGTACATAGAAGTCAGCACGTTTCATTGCAGTCTATATGAAAATAATGTTCTATAATAATAGCCAATAGAGTTTTATTTGAAGTGAACGTTCCAAATTTGCGCATTTGTATACATTTAGTGTGTTAAATTTCACATTTAATAACTGCTCACTCTTAAATGTACTCTCTGCACAAGAAATATTCATCAAACAGGATGAATTTATCTTATTCATATATAACTTTTAATGTTAACAATGGATATAATCATATCCACAATAAATTTTCTGAATCTTACACTTTCAAAATCAACAGAATGCAAGCACTGAGATACGAAAATACCAGATTTCTTGTAACACTTCCAATCCTTCTCAGCTCAATGAACAAAAAATATACACTTGAATTCTCTTAATCCACAGCTGTTAGTAAAATGTATAATACTCGAGGCTAATTGTAGCTTGAGTGATTTTCTCGATGTAAAGAGCGATAATATGCCGTGAACAGCAATCCAAATATCAACGCGTGATAAAAATCGCGAAAATGAAACGTCAGCGATTAATTAAACTCCTAAAACTAAATCACTCCGAGATTTTCTACTACTGCGACATACATTTATAACTGCGCAACAAACAAAAATTGAAACGTAAACAACATGCGCTGATATGCACAGTTTTAAAGATTTAGCGTCACAAGACCAGCAGAAGCTCATTGGTCCATTTTCGAAACCCCTACCCTGGTGGCTGCGTTGATGTGCACTTGTGAAATATGCTTCCGGGAGTATGATTCACCATCTGACATTCCATATTAGGAAGAAAAGTTGTTTATTTAGTTTCGGCTTTGGTACCGGGAAAAATAGCGCGTTCATTTAAAAAAAAAAAAAAAAAAAAAAAAAAAAGAGCACTAAAAGCAAAAAATAAGCACTAAAAACAAAAAAATAAGGGCTTTAAAGAAAAAGTAAGCACCTATAAGAGCCTTTATATTTTATTTTCAAATATAAGGACTTATAAGCACTTATAAGGAACCTTGTTTCATCATGAACTACGAACCCTGTTTCATCATGAAGCTGCCAAACCGATGAGCATTACATTAAAAGCAATTAAGGAAAATGTCGAAAAAGGAACTATAATATATTCCGATTCTGGTGTTCCAGCTTGACAAGAAACTGTCCTCTGCCGATGTTCCAGCTTGATTAGAAACTTTTCTCTGCCTCGGAATGACAACAGTGAGAACTTGGCTTTCGATTCGTTTGATGTAGTTCGAACACTGCTCACGAGATGTAACATCAGATTTGATTCTAGATTAGATTAATTTGTTTAGTATTTAATCAACCCTTTTAAAACTAGATTGAGTATTTTGATAATAGAATCATTACTGAACCACCACTTATAGAAAATTAGATGTGGCATTTAGATTCATAGATGCGTAGGCAGCGCCATTCGTCTATTCGATTAGTGTACAATAGTGGGTACACGTGGAAATCATACAGCACTGAAAAACTGGAAGAGGAAAGTTTAAAAACATCATAAAAATATTTTAAAGTCAACTACAAATAAAATTTTCAGCTAATCTTTGAAATATGGTAACAGGTAGTTTGCCGACATTTTGGTAAGGCGATAAAGGTTACTTTAGCAGTGTCCATGGATAAAGTCCAGAGTGTGCGCAATGCCATTTTTGTGCAATTCTGTGATGTTTTTTTAAGTGAAAATAGGTCGATGTGTACATGGATACCGTGAATGTGGCAAGTAGTTTGCGATTCTGCACTTTCTCCCAATTTCGCACCTAATCTTCGTCATGATTAAGCACTTTTCCATAAAAGTTCTAGCAGAAGCGTAATTCGGCTAGCCGATTGTTGAAAAAAAAATGTTGGGGGGAAAAAAAACATGCCTTTACTTTGTGAAAACAAAACGGCATCCAAACAAAAACTAGCAGGTTGCTGTAGCAGAGTTGGTCGCCAAATTTTCGCCAAAAAATCACCGAGTTACCATAATCCAAAGATTAACCCAATTTTCTTGATCAGGAATTTGGAATGCATGGGCATACCTGCCAACCTCTAAAAATAAAAATTTAGAAGATTTCTCCAAAATTCAGAAGAACACGAAGAATTAATATCATACTTTGATATTGAAAAAATAACAATTTATACAAATAGAAAAAAGAAAATTATAATTACATTAGTAAATCTCAGTTAAGTAGTAACTAAAAAATTTATTACGAAACATAAAACAAGAACTTAATGTTAAACAAAAAAATTATTGCAATGAATTTTTTGGCTTTAGCCAAAAATTCTTTGGAAAATTCCTGTCATAACAATTAGTTTCCTCATAACATTTAGCAATTAAAATGTTTTCTAGAGTTTTGGTGAAATTGAAGAACGAAACAGTTTTGTTTTTCTTTACAACACTGAAGACTCTCTTCGCACTCAGCATTACTGTGTGGAATTACGAGAATAGCACAAAAACTCTTGCTAGTCTATCCTATTTTGGTGTTCCATGAACTCTTTTTAAGGCACCAACGAGGACATCAAGTCTATCTTCTCCAGAACTGGCAAAGTCTTCAAACTGTGCAGCAGAAAATTGGTTCTGTAATTCATCTAAAGCATCATTATGGCATTTTCTTTAATTGTTAACAAAAATGGAAATTTATCAATAAAAAAACGAATCTTTTCAAAAGATGAATTTTCAATTTTGTCAAAAGATGATGAAAAATCCATCTGAAAAGTTGACCGCATGATCGGCAGCGCTTAGCGGCATGTTGTGTTCGATGAGGAATGCAGTAAACACACACTCTGCCAAAATGACATCGGCATCCGAATTCGTAGCCGAATTTGAAAAAACATCGTCCACTTTCTTTGACGTTGTCGAAGCCGAAGCATTAACTTCATGATTTTTAGACTTAACATGCTTCACAATGTCGCTTCTTCCACCGTGACTTATTATGAAGGCGCACACGTTGCAAAAATGCATAGTTATTTCCTTTGAAGGATTCTTTAATTGTTGGAAATTCGGCTTTGTAGGCAGGCCGAAACTATTGAGAATACGGATTTTTTGAACTCATTTGTAACAACGACGTATTAAGAAAATTCGTAGCAAGTGCAATCAAAAAAAAAAAAAAAAAAAAAAAAAAAAAAAAAACAGAATCGACAATCCACGCTTGCTCAGTCCGAGTGAGTAATTCCCTTGCTGTTGTTGAAGCGAACGCGAAAAAATAATCTGGCGCCACAAAGAAAAGTGTGGGAGAAAACAAGTTCAGCGCATTGTATTGGCTGGTTTTAAGCGGCGAGTTGGGAGAAACCGCAGGACTGGATTCGAAGTAGTCGGTTTAAAAACATGAGCAATTGGCGAAAATCGCTGAATTGGCGAAAAATTCTAAAATTTTCGACCAAAAATCACTAAAAACACTTGAAAAAGGAAAAAATCGTAAAAAATGGATTACGATCGTAAAATCGTAAAGACAAACGCATTTTCGTAAAAATTACGAAAAATTCGTAAAAGTTGGCAGGTATGCATGGGGTAACGCCAAATGGCAAAATAAGAAACAGAGGAACGGCACGTCATCATCTGGAAAGTAAAAAAGTATGAGAACTAACATTTGTTAATATTTTTATGTGTATACCATGTGTTGTTGCCAATAAAGTCTGCTTGGCGAGATCTGCACCATTATTAAAATTTTTTTATGTGTATACCATGCGTTGTCATCAATAAAGTCTGCTTGGCAAGTTTTGCACCATTACTAAAAATTTTTTATGTATATACTGTGTGCTGTCAACAATAAAGTCTTGGAGAGATCTGCCCCGGCAAAATGGAAAAGTAGCTTTTCAATTAATAAGAAATCCAAACTCTAATAAATAGCCTTGAATTATTAAAAACAAATATAAATTTTATTCTATCAACTTAATTACTTGGTAAAAGCATATATTTCCAGGCACTCCTTAGCAAAAATTGGTGGTACATGTCGACCTATTTTCACTTAAAAAAAAAAGTCACAGAATTGCAAAAACTTGGCTTTGCGCACTCCCTTGACTTTGTACACATTGATATATTTTCACTTTAAAAGTCAAAGGAGCACCCAATTATAGGTAAAAGTATATTTACGGAACATTCAGCTATTCAGGTTACCATAAATGAAATAACAACTTTGCGATAGTACAGGAGGTACCCTCGTGACCTTCGAGAGGGAGAAGGCCATGACACTTAATAACATGGCGGAGCTTTCCGTCCGATGTTATCATCGGAAAGTCGTCTGAATTTTTTAATTTTTGTTGGAAATATAACTTTATTATGTTGCTTAGTTAATTAAAATAGCTGAAAGAAAGGAGGCTTTATATACATACACACTTTTTAAGCTTTTTACAGATATTTTAATTAACTTTGTACATAAATATAATTGCAAGAACAAAAACACAAACGAACATTTTACAAAAATTTAAAGGCTGATTGAAAATTACTACTGTCATGATAAATTGGGAAGGGGTTTAAGATAAGATTAATATTTACCTAGCTCAGTATAAATTTTTTTCAGAGAAAAATATAACCATCAACTTCTATATCTCCAGCGTATGAAAGGAAATACTTTGACATATTTAGTGTATGTGGCAATA